TCCTCTTCCACGGAAGAGAGGGGCGGGGTGAGCAGAGCTCATTAGCATTTAAAGAGACATGCACCGAAGCGGGTCGCTGTGAACAGAGCTGTTTTTGATAAGGTAAAAGGGTGTTATTTTACACGACCACAGGAATTTTAACCTAAGTATGTTACAGACATTTCATGAAGACACTAAAGAATCATACCAACTTGTGGAAAATAGGCATCTGATGCCCTCTTTAAGGTAATTGACTTGAACAAACTCCTAGAACTAAGTATGAGCAAAAATAACAAGTGATGAAAACTGCCAAAATAAACCAGCAACAACAAATGCCAGACTATTAGGTTTTCTCCAGGTCTGGAGTCTATTGTAGATGAGGGCAAAAGGTACATATATAGATACAGAGGTGTATAGAGGTGCAGCTCGCATGCAGAGCAAACTCAACGTGGACATTATGGATCGAGGCCATTTGTGCATTTTGAGAGAGTGGGAGAAGACGCAGTACCACTCAGTCCCAATCACTCACGCTGTTTGTGAAATTCCGTCTCACAGAAAGTTTGAAACTGACTGATCTGCTCTGAGAATCTGTTTGGATTCAACCTACATGCTATAGTGCATAAATGTTTGCGGTAATTTCCCGCTTTATAATCGCGAAACCTGCGGGAATGTGTAGAATTATGACAGATTTGTTCTGCACATGTTGCCCTTAATGGCACCTTCCTTTTCAAAGTGATTCAAGCAATTCAAACCATCATGGACGTACATCTCAGCAGGGGACAAGGCCAAGAGAGGATCGCCCCCTAGATTTCTCCTGTATTAACACCAAACTAACCTGATAAACCCGGCTGGATCACAAACATTCTGTCCAGCATACCAGAACCTCATTTGCATTTTTGTCTTGTTTTCCAGCAGAAAGAGCTAAACTTCCTTCAAACGAAACCCAGAACAAGATATTCTTTACCCCTAATTGGTCAATGTTCTGTACAGGCTTATGCTTTAACTTAAAGACATGACATTTTCATTGGTTAGTCTACCTTGGCACGTCCTCTCATTGGTCAGAAGTTTGTATCCTTTCTTGCAGCTGCATTCGAAGCTGCCAACCGTGTTTCTGCACACATGGTCACACCCGCCGTTGTTCATGCGGCATTCATCAATGTCTGTAACGAGAGAGAGAGAGAGAGTTTGAGCAGATACACATGCACTGGATTAGTGCTGTTCCCTTCAGTTCACCGTGATTCAAACCATCAGCGGAGGACACATGTGAGATAATCAAAAGGTACAAGGGGTGACTGACAGTAAATATGACAGATTTGCTTGGGCTTAAACTATCAGCTTACTGTTTGAATCAGAAGAAGAAAGAAAAAAAAGAAAAGATTTTTCTTTCCTATAGAAATGTTATAGAAATGTAAACAATTTGGGGAACCTTATAACATTACAAACATTTCACATTTTTAAGAAAAGAAAAACCCTTTCGGTTTACAGTGTAAAAATAATGAATAAACGCAAAAGATTTTGCGAAAAGAAAAGAAAAATATTTTTATAGAAACTGTATAGAAATGTACACAAATTGGAGAAACGTATAAAATCAAAGAATTCTTCATTTCTAAGAAAAATAAAACCTTTCAATATACAGATTAAGAATAATAAATAACAGAAAAAGTCTTAATAACAGTCACATAATCAAAAAAAAACAACTATTAAAATTAATTTCATGTGATTAGAAAATTAAAACACAATTAATTTCACCTAAGAATTCACCACGACCGCACACATAATCAGACTGTTTGTCATTCTGTACAAAGTAGGCTCAGCTTGAATCCTAGGAGCTTTAAGTGTCTTAAATATTGCTAATTTCCTTTCAGCCGACATAAAATTCACCAGAAAAATTCACTTTATTTTCTGAAGCAACATATTTGTGTCTACATATTACGTCGGCGATATTAAACATTTCTGGTTTCCTCAACCACTCTTCTAAAATCTAAAACAATGACATTTTATACACATTTATATCAGAGATTGATGCACAGTTACACATTACACAATACACATTTTGCAGAAGCTTTTATCCGAAGCAACTTCTATTGCATTCAGTTTACATCAGTGTTTGCATTCCCTGGGAACTGAACCTATGACCTTGGCGTTGCTAGCTCCGATCTCTAGAGTCTGAACTACAGGAATCAAAGAAGAGAAATGAGAAAATGAGGCAAGCAGACAAGAAATGAGGAGAGAATAAGAGAAAGGAGCGAATGCGAGAAGACGAGTGGATGGGGACGGACACACATGGAGCGAATGTGCGACTTCAGAGCATTTGTGGACTCCGACAGGAGGAAGTCTTTCAGGATCACGTCTCCTCTGGCCTGTTCTCTCGGAATCAGGGATCAATATATCATCAGCTTGTCCTGCTTTCCATGGGCTTTGATTGAGCTGCACTGGATGTTTCTGATTACGGCTGAATCATCTGAGTAAATGAGGCGTTCATCTCACAGAAAGACTGCATCATCTGGAGAAAATAACGGCATTAGCAGCAGAAGAAACGCTCGCTCTGGGTCTGAAGGAGGCTCCGTGTCTTCTCGTGCCAGTGCAGTCTGGGGATGTTTTTCTTTGTTTCTTCTACTGCAGAACTAATAAAACTCAATGTTCTTTTATCGCTCTTGTTAGCGTAACGTTATGAGCGCTAGAGGCGACGCAGGCTCCCAGTCTTGGCCGCATGAACCCGCATGTCTGCACTTCCAGTTGCTCTTCACCCTTTCGGAAACTCTTTTCTTCTTCATTAAACCCTTTTGTGTTCCCTCATCTATTTTTCATGCTTCTTTGCTTTCTTCAAAAGTAGTCGTTGATTTATATACACTTTTTCTCACATTTTTCTGGCGTACAACATCAAGAGCGAGAGCTACGTTTAAGGCAATTTCATCTTGGTGGCTGAAAATGTTTGAGTACCACTTACAGAAAAAAAAGAAAAGAAAATAAATTCTATAGAAATGTAGGGCCTATATAAATTGAGGAACCTTATAAAATCTTATAAAAGAAAAAAAAAACTTTTAATTTAAGCAGTAAGAATAAATATCTGCAAAAGATGAAAACAATTAATTTAATTACAAAATGCAACTCTCCAATAAAAAAAATATATATTTTTTGTCATTACAAATTAAAATACATTTTATTCCTAATTAATTTCACCTAAGAATCCACTCTGACCACAGATTTAATTAACAATAATCAGACTGCTTGTCATTTTGTAAAAAACAGACTCTGCTTCAATCCTAGCAGCAATATGTGCTTTAAATATTGCTAAAGTACTGATAATTTTGCTTCACTCACAATAAAAATTTACCAGAGAAATTCACTTTAATTTCTCTCAGTTTACACAGTAAGAAAAGAAACATAAAAAAAAATGTATTCAAATTTGTACAAATACAAACCTGCTGTATATATTATAACAAAGAATTAATTTAAGGAAAAAAAACAATTTACACAGTAAAAATAATAAATAATCCTGTACTATAGGAAATAAACAGAAATAGAGGTGTAGAGGTTGCTAACTATCTTTACCCGCCAAAGCAACACTATTTTGGTGGTTTTTACGTGACGTCAAAATGGTCAGGCAGGTACACTTTCATGAAACGTTCCCAACGTGTAATTACCAGATCTTCAAAGACGTGAACGCAGTTTACAAGTTGAGAACTCATAATTATGGTAATTCAGAAATGACGGCATGCAATAATGAGTCTGGGTGGGACTGGTAGTTTTTTTATTTCTCGTCTTTGAATTCAAAATCTGCTGAAAGCTCCAGGATTGATCACAATGTGAAACCTTGTCCATTTAAAACAACATTTTTGCAAAGTAATATGATGAGAAATTTTTGCTCTGCCCATTGAACCTCACTGCTATCTATCTATCTATCTATCTATCTATCTATCTATCTATTATTTATTTTTATTTATTTAGTAATTTAGCAGATGCTTTTATTCACAGCGACTTACAAATGAGGACAACAGAAGCAATCAATTGTAGTATTAAAACATAAAATAGACCTAAACAGACATAATAAATTAAGACATAATTTAACTAAAATTAAAATAAATAACAAATACAAATAATACAAATCAAATGACAGTAGTTTATCAGTAATCCTAAAAAATAACACTGCCAAACATACATGCTAAAAAACAACAACTTGCTTACACATACTAAGAAATGGTTATAAAAACTGAAACAGAAGTGAAACAAGTAGTGACAAGATACGTGATACAGAACGAGACCAAACGCGATATCAGCACGTCTCCACACAGTAAACCATCCGTGTATCTATTCATCCATCCGCTTATCTATGCAGTCATCCATTCGTCCATCAATCCATCTGCCTACCTATCCATCCGTTTATCCATTTTAAAGGGATAGTTCACCCAAAAATGAAAAATTTGATGTTTATCTGCTTACCCCCAGCGCATCCAAGATGTAGGTGACTTTGTTTCTTCAGTAGAACACAAACGGAGATTTTTAACTCCAGCCGTTGCAG